AAAAAAAAAAAAAAAATTCAGCTGAACACAATATATTTTGTTTTTGAGCAACATACAGAATATTAGGAACAGTAGAATTTGTTTATTTTTTCTTTGATTTGTTTACTAAAAAGAAGAAAAATAAAGACTGACATCTTTATTTAAACTAAATCTGTAATTACAGTTATTTAATTTTAGTTATATAATTCATATACATAGCATTTATATCATTTCATATCATTAAGTTATAATTTCATATACATAATTAGATTTAATATTAACCCAATTTGAAGCAAAAACAGAATGTTCTGACTAGCTTTGTGAAATTATACTACATGCCTGAATGAAACAAACAGCAGACGAGCTCTGAATGAGATGCAGAGTCACTCTCTGACAGCAGGAGGCTCTTCTGGAACACCAGATACAGTGTTTCCTTGGTTACCGCTGTAAACAAAGCAGCGCTGCGCTGAAACACTGCTTTAATGTGAACTATACAGAGATGAGATTAAAAGAAAATACCATTTAAACAAAAACAGCGCATACCGCAGGAACGGTATAACGGAAAATATTAGTGGTTTTGAAAACGTGAAATTTTCAAATCGCGGTACACCTTGAAACCGGTAATCGGCCCATGCCTAGACCATACATAAAGAGAACCATTTACTTCACTCCTGAATGAATCAGCCATTTGAACGAATCAAATAAATGAATAAATGACTCGATGACTTAATCATTACGACCTTTACGACCACCTATTGGCATTTTTAGTTTATTATTTAGAGTATCGTTTCATTAAAGAAATAATTTCATATTTCCATTGTAATAATAATTTTTTTTAAATTATTAAAAGTATAGTTCACCCTCCCAGAAATGAAAATTTTGTCATCATTTACTCACCCTCATGGTCCAAAAGAGTATATGTAATACATTTTGTTGAATCAAACAAAATATTTCTTGCTGAAGCTACTTTTTATGATGTCTGTTTGATGCTTTACACAACAATGACTTTAAATTATCTTTTGGGAGTAATTTCTCAGCCAAGTTTGATGTGCGATTAATTAGCGATTAATTAGATTAATTAATTGCCACATCATGTAGTTAATTAGATTAAAAATTTTAATCGCTTACCAGCCCTAATATATACATTTTGCAATATAAATAAGCTTGTGGAGTTTTATTATATGCATAACAGTTAGTTCCGATTCTCAAATCTGACTGGACACTGTTGTAAACAGGCTGTCAGTCAGTGCAAGTTACATTGTTGTGCCAGTAGGTGGCAGCAAATGGCTACTTTTATGAGTGAGTCATTAAAACATTTTCAACTAATGTTTAAAAATGCTAATTCATTCATGGTGTTAAAATTTGTTGAACTTTGAGTGCCACTTTACAAAGCTCAGTCAACAAGCAACATGTCACTTGGGGTAACACTGAAGCTGATATTTCGCTTCATAGAGATCAGTGGCATTGATTAAGTGCTTTGACCAGAACAGACGCTGGTCGCTTTCATCTTTAGACAACTGAATTTATTTATTTTTTTTGCAAATATATGATTTGACCTGAAAAGGGACAGATACAGGTAATTGCACACGCTCAGTCAATCTCGATCTCTCTCTCTCTCTCTCTCTCTCTCTCTTTCTCTGCTAAGGCTTTTTAGTGAAAATCTATGAAACCTGTACAAATCACAATTGTACACCGAGTCTTAATGAACTAAAAGCAAGAGACAGTTGGAAAAAAAAAAATTCTTATGATCAACTTATTTAACATCAATGCACATTCATTAAAGGGGTGGTTGACTGTTTTTTTTATAGGCTTGATTGTGTTTATGGGGTGCAGTCTAACATGTGTTAATGCTTCGTTTGTTAAAAAACGCATTATTTTTCACATAATTTACCTTTATTCCACACCTCTCTGTCCCTTCTCCTCTGAACGCACTGATCATTTCCTGCTTTTATGAAGCCCCTCCCTCAGAAATACACGATGGGCTCTGACTGATTAGCTGGCCCAGTGTGTTGTGATTGGCTAAACCGCCTCTAGCGCGCGTC